CAATACCGTTCTGAATTTGTGTTGAAGTGCAGAGATAATTTCTTTTTCTTTCTGTATGTGACATGTCTATGTCAGGGAAAGACTGGAAACATCTTAATTTGTTCTAATAATTATGGGGACAATAGTCGTATTTTATATAATTCAAAAGCTTTGTTTTTTTATTTTTTGTTCTTGCCAAAAATTGTTTCCTACTGAAACATTTAATATTATTTGAATCCTTAGTGACTTTCTATTGCCAACTAAAATTTGATTTTTTTAATTATTTTAAAAAATTTAAACAAATTTCTGTGGTGGTTTTATTCAGCATATTTCTCTTTTCCTCGCCACAGAGTAGTTTTAGAGACAACTTTCTACAAGTACAAAAGGACATTCCCATCTATAGGAATATACATTAAAGCATTTGCAAATGGTGCTAGAAATTATTTAATAGTTAAATCAACCATATTAACCAGACTGAAATGAAGAATCAGATTGAGGTTACTCTTCAAACAGCAAGAGGCTACCTGTCTATCTCCTTTGACAACTGAGTAAAGATGATAGCATATTTAGGGTATCAAAGATAGAGGAATTGTAGAGTTATGAAGTTTAATGAAGATGCAGATGGTCCGTTGTTTGTCCAAATTATGTGATTGTACCACTTTCTGCAGTAAAAAGTCCAATTCCAGGTATGCACATCTGAAGTAGGAGAAAAGGTTAACCAGGGTACATGTCATGCAGTGATTATGAGCCTGGATTCTGGAATCAGATGGCCGGAGTTTGATTCCCATCTCCTCCATCACATATGAGTGGTGTTGGGCACATGATTTAACTTTTTGTAACTCAGTTTCTCTAACTGTAAAAGGTCATGTAAAGCTCCTAAAAGAATGTCTCCTATATTGTAATTGTATTATTTATCCATTGATGTGTAACAAGTTACCCCAAAACTTAGTGACTTAAAACCACATATATGCATTATCTTTTGGTATTTCTGAGTAGGAATCAGTGTACATCTTAGCTGGGTGTCTCTGGTTCTAGGCCTTTCATGAAGTTGTGGTCAAGCTGTTAGCCTGGGCTGTAGTCCCATCTGAAGGATGGGATGGGAAGTGAGTGGGATCTGCTTCCAAGCTCATTGACATAGATACTAGCAGTTATGTGCTATGTGGGCCCCTCCACAGAACTGCCTGGCAGCCGGGCATTCAGTTTCCCTGGGGTGAGTAATCCAGAGGAGGACACAGGATCCCAAGACGGAAGCCCTGTCTTCTTGCAACCCAGTCTTGGAAATGATATCCCATTAGCTTTGCTGCACTCTTTTTGCTAGAAGTGAGTCACTAAATCTGGTCCACACTCAAGTGGAGAGGATATTTCAGTGGCATGAATACCACGAGGTGAGATCACTGGGGACCATCTTGGAGGCTGCCTATAGCAGTAACTTGTGCTTTAATTTATATCCCCTTATGTTCTATTCCTACCAATCAGACCAAATGATCTCTTAAAACATATGGCAGATCATGAGATTACTTCATTTAAAATTATCTAGTGTCTTCCTATTTTGCTTAAAGTGAAAGTTAACACCTTTACAGTAGCCTACAAAACCTTTCATGCTTATGAATTTTGTTTTGTATTTTGTTGTATAAAACAATACATATGTACAATAAATACTATATCTATGTATATATGCATAAACACTTTTATGTGTTTAGTTATAGATCTAGAAGTTATTTTCTATGTAGTATAAGATAGGAATCTAATGCCTTCCAAATAAAGAGCCAGTTTTATTAACTAGAATTCCCTTTCCCTACTGAGGTGATAGTCTACTGTGAACCTGTCTGTCTCTTCCTATGCAACTTGTGTCTAATTGTTGAAATTTTGAATAAAGATACACCTCATAGATCAAATAGACCATGTAAGATACAATTGTGTTTGTAGAGATTTTATTTGATTTGGAATATTCAAATGCATATAAAACAACTTGAATTATAACTGGGAATTAATTATGGAGAACATTTACTTAAGTTACTTCATTGGATAGATTAGGAACTAATTCTACTCAGTAGGCTGTGACTTAACTTTTAAAATCCAGTTAGCTGCAAAATTAAGATGAAGAAACAAATTTCATGGCTCCTAGGCCATTGTTTCTGGCTTATGTTCATATACTATACTTTGTTGGTGCTGCTTATAACTGTTCAGAAAACTATCACCAAAAGGCCTATCAAATTTGAAAGCCCTCTGGAATGAGATCCTTGTTTATATAGCCAAGATTCACATATGCAAGTGTATCTGTGAATGCCTGAGGCCCCTGGCTTTCTCTTCTCCTTTCTGGATTTTGGCCTTGACTCTGTTTAGGGTAAGTTCAACTGGCAAACCAGAATAGGTAGGCAATGGAGATTATATTCAAGCCTGTTTGTCTTGTTGATTATTAGCAGTACTGGTGAACAGTTTGTTGAAAGAGGAAAGCATATTGAAATTCTTGCTTAAAAAGAGGTGTGTAGAATTGTCAGTGGTTTTCTTTTGATAAAAGTTGTCTAGTAACTGTTGCAGTATGTGTGTTGTGGGTTGGCTATAAATCACAAAATGAATCACTTTCAACTCCTTCACATCTACAGATATAAGAATGGAAAATATTGTCACTTAGATGAGTCCTTCATTTTTTTCTTCTTTTTGAATAGCATAAGCCTTACTCCGCTGGACACCTGGCTTTGGCAGCCAATGAAAGCTGTCAATGATGGAGCCATTCTGCCTCTCCCAGATAGATTTTGCTGCAGACAGGTGACAAGAATATAATCCAAAAGTGAAGTTCTTCTTTTTTTTTTTTTTGGAGTCAGAGTCTTACTCTGTCACCCAGGCTGGAGTGCAGTGGCATGCTCACGGCCACCACATCCTAGACCTGCAGGGCTCAGGTGATCCTTCCACCTCAGCCAGAACTACAGGTGTGTGTCACTATGCCCAGGTAATTTTTTTCTTGATTTATTGCAGAGATGAAGTCTCACCAAATTGCCCATACTGGTCTCGAACCCCTGAGCTCAGGCAATCCTCTTACCTCGGCCTCCCAAAGTGCTGGGATTACAGGCTTGAGCCACTGTGCGTGGCCTGATTTTTTTTTTTTTTTTTTAGGGCAAAAACAAAACAGAAGAAAAAGAGAGAGTACTATGAGTAAGTGTTATGTTACTAGTGAACTTTTCTAACTAAAACCACATTATATTACATGGAATAATTTTATGTCTATTAAGAGTCAATCAATAAGCATGAGTGACAACCCAGAATCTAGCCAAAGTACATATTAACTTGCTGTGTGACTTTAAAAGGCAACTCAACCTGCCTGGATCAGTAGGTTCATTGGCAGAAGTTGGAACTAGATGGTAAGGACATCTTTTGGTAATGAAGTAGTGAATAAGAGAAATGCAGCAAGTTATTTTTAGTTAAAAAAGAAAGAAAGAAAAGATTGATACCAGCCCATAATTTTCAGTGGGCTTGCTTAAATCCTCCTCCTCTCTCCAAATTCTGTTTTTACCAAGTGGGTAAGCTAAAGACAGTTTGTCATGATTTGAACTTCCTGGCTTATGTTGATTTCTGTCAATATGTTACTGTTACACATTTGAGTGGGAGCTGAGTTATATTTCATGAGGACTGTTCAGAAAACTAATAAAATCCTCACAACCCCACTTTCTGTGGGTATTGATAGCATCAAGAAGATAAAAAAGACTTTGCCATTTTCAGGCAGTTGCTCTTCCAGCTAGACCGAAAATGGAATGGTATTAACTCAACTCACTTGTTTAAACATTAACCAAGAGATGCTTTCTCCTCCTCAAAAGTTTTAAGTGTTTACATGAACTTAACCACAAATATACACAACTCCCCCAAAGTCCTTTAAAAATCGCTGACTACTCCATGAAATAACAGCTTCAGAAGGCTTGCAAAGAATTATTCACACAGCAACCTAGGAGGCATACACATATATCCTCTCTAACTACTGTGTTACTTGATGTGATCTCTGGTAATCGCCACAGGACCTTCAGAGATTTATAGAGTTTAGATACAAGCATGTTGGGGCCACCATACTCAGATAATTGAGTGACAGTCTTCCAATGGGTTTCCCAAATGGATGAGGAAGCGCTCAAAAAAGGCCAAAAAAAAAAAAAAAAAAGGATGCAGATCTCTTCTGAAGACTGTTTCCAGGCTCTCAAATGGCCATTGTCAAAAAACAAATAGTGGGATGGATTTGACTAAACATCAGAAGAAGCTCAAACAACAGCTTGTGACAAGTGAGCGTTAATAGCTCACAAGGCAGAAAAGAACTTTTCAGAGCATCCTTGTCACATGGAGTTTTAATGTGTAGGCTTTATCAGCTGCTCTGAGTGGGGGTTAAGAGGCATGCATATTTAACCATTCATTTCATATTCGGTGTGTAAAGTAACTACTGCTTTTCAACTTGAGTGGAGAAAGTATTTATCAAGCTTTATCAGAGCCAGACAGAGAAAACCTATCAATTACCTATTTGTAGTGCAAGATGGAAAATTTCCTCTGTCTCTTACACTTCATCTTTTTGTTCAATCCTAGTAGCCCTTTATTTTAAAAGTATTAATAATAGCTCAATCAGAGTTTTTACTGGACAGAGTCAGCAATTTTTGTTTGAAACAAAACTTTCTCTACCTTCTGCCCTAGATAAATGCACACCAGCGTCTAAACATTTAAACATAATGAATCTTTTTTACATCTTTCAGTCGATAAGCTTGAAATTTTGCAAACACATTGCCTCTGGTATATATCTTGACTTTCAAGATGTACAGCCTACAACCTATAATGCTTTGTTTTCTTTCTTTATTCCTCCCCGCACCCTACCTCCAGTATTTTAGGGCACCATATGTCAATAAGATATGTGATAGCTTCATCCTGGTAATTAACATGCTCATTTGAGGTTACGAAATATGCATTTGAGAAAGGTTGGGGATTTCCCCTGAATATCCACTAACTGCTTTAAGTGGCATTTTCATTCTGACTTGGTGTTTTGTTTTGTTTGACTGCAGCATACTGGAGCACAATGAAAGAGTCTATTTGGAGGCCTCAGAAGTAATGCTGCTGTGGACCGTGAGCAAAGGAGAAAGAGTGGACTCCAGCCTGCACGGATGGTCTTGAAACACAACTGGTTTTTGGTAAGTTACCTGAAATGTATTAGCTTTCAATTTCATCACACATCATGTATTTGGTGTAGTGGGTCATCTTTTTCAAGTGCATACTATTTCTCAAAATCCATACAACAGGACGTTTTGAGAAAATGTTGTTCTAGCCACAGAGCACCAAGAGAGCAACCGCATTTTCTTAGTGTATTTGTTTATGAAGTTTGCAGAATAGTGGGATCTAAATAGAATGCATTTGTAGTTAGAAAAAGACCAGACCGAACCAAACAAACCCAAACAACTAAGCACACAAACAACAAACAAGCTATATCTTTCAGACATTCCATTGTAGTTGAAAGCATAAGGGATTAATTACACAAGAGGAAGTAGTTCAGTCTGTTGGTAAGTTTGTTACCTGTAATCAAGTATGGTCAGGCACTACAAAGATGTTTTATCAGCCTAGTTCATGATATTTCCTGGAAACAGAGTCCTCAAATGGAAGCCCAGTTCTGCAGCACTTATCTTGGTGACCTAGAATGACTCACCTGTCAAAATGTGAGTACCTGCCTAGATGATCTCCAAGGCCTTTTGCAGATTTACAATTCAGTTTTCTCTAGTGAAACTAATTAAATAATTATATTCTTTAATTCTTGCCCAACAGAATTTGCATTGTGCCCTTAGCAAGCCATCATTTGCAGAGGGGCTCATTGTATCAACCAGTGTGGAGGAAGGGGACTAGGTCCTCGGGAGTTTGGGTCTCCCCTCCCTACTGGTACCCATCCTAATAGCCCTTTTGTTGAGCCGTTAATAATTTATTCCCTTGCAACATTAAAATGTGATGCAGTGCTTATGAATATTATATTCAAATAAGGGAGGTAGACATCTTCTGGGTTATTGTCCTTTGTTTTTCTTTAGGGAATCTGACTTTTCCCTTTTCTGTGCATGCTATCACTGTGTTACCGGTTATCTGCCAGCCCTTTAACCTTAAGGATCCCCAAAATTTGTTTACACTAAACAACGTCTTCTTCTTCTTCTCCTTCTCCTCCTCCTCCTCCTCCTCCTCCTCCGCCTCCTCCTCCTCCTCCTCCTTCTTCTTCTTCTTTTCTTCTTCAACATTCCCTTTCAGAAGCAGAGCTGGTACCGACTCTTAAATGATCTCAGATGTCACTCTTGTTAACAGCTGGCTGTCTGCCTCTAAGTGATGCATTATTTGGGTTTCATAACAGCATTTTGTTTTCTCTTACAAATGTTAAATTATGAAGTGCAGGAAACTACATGAATGCGGCAGAAAGAAAATGCAAACACTATGTTATCTGGAAATGCCAGGTTTATGATTCTTCTGGTGACAGTATCCTCCCTATAATTATTAATATGGGAAGCCTCTTTAACTATATTTGCTGGTGGTCTTCTATCCTGCATCTTCCTCTTCATTTATGCAGTATGCTATGGCCACCTTGTCACACTGTATTAGGAGGTTTGATTAAGATGATTGCTTGGGGCTATATCTTTCCAAGACCTGCCTGATAACAAATCCTGATTCTCATTCACCAAGTCTTTTCTGAATCCTCAGGACTTCACTAACAGGTCTGTCCTTATGAACTCCTATCACATTTGGGGTGATATCAGACAACAAGTATTGCTGTGCATTGCTTTGTGGGTATTTGCCACCACCAAAACTGGGTTGCATATTGCTTCAAGGCAGGAATCAGACCACAGACTGGTGTTTCTCAAGGATGTTCTAACTCGAGGATCTCCTGCATCTGAATCACCTGAGTGTGTTTATTAAAGTTGCAGATTAAACAACACCAAACTTGAAGAATGAGTATTTCTGGGGATATAGAACCCAGAAAACTCATCTCAGATATCTCTTTTGCACACTGAAGTTTGAGAACAGCTGTTTGAGATTCATTCCGCATTCTCATCCACAACAAAGGGTCCGGGACTGAGTGTATAGTCGGTACCCAGGAAATGTTTGCTTGTTGATCTAAGCAACATCAAACTATGAGGGTTGCATTCCCTCTTCAATTGCCTAACCTTTTTAGGATGTGAAGTCAGCATGTTTGCTGAACCTCTAGAAAACCCAGGTTTTGTTTGAGGGTATAAAGTGTTCTTCTAGGTCAGAGGCTCTTTGGAAACCTTCTTTTTATGACTCTATCCTCAGTTACTGACTCTGCCCTTGGTAATGACAGTAGTCCCTGACTAAACCTGGTATAGTAGGAACATCAGCTATGAGAAGCTCGACTAGAGCAACAGGATGAGAGAAAGATCTGAGGATGGAAACAGTACTGTGTTCAACTGGAAGCTTTATCCTTGGCTCCCAAAGCCACACCTGCTGCCCTTGGCAATTTATTCTGGATGGTATTTCTTTCAGCTGTCAGGACTTGCAGGTTGTCAGTTTTGGTGGCAGCAGAGTGGTTCCATCACTGAAAGGGATCAAGTTAAGCTGCAGTGGACTCACATCAAAGCACCCACAGTAGGCAGATTTGGGATTTGAATCTGGTGTTAACAGACTGCAGTGGTAACACTTGGACTGCTTCTTTCCTCTCCTTTCCATCTTGCTCTAGCAGGGGCATGCCCAGTCTTGGACGATCCAGAAGAGATGTGCAGGGTGTTGCTGCTTCTGGGGCAACTCCTGAATGCCCTTGCTGGTGGTTCTAGCCCTGGTAGATGGATCTGAAGTTCAATACAGAAACCAAACAGAAGAACTCACAGCCAGTCTATAAAGGAAAAAGTGGGGTCATCAGGACATTTATTAGCTGTTAACATAACCACTACCAAATGCATTAAAAACATTTTTCTTGCAAATTTTTTTTTGACCGTTGCTTAGTCACAGTTTTACTTGGAGAACTTGTGCCAATTCTGAATTCAGTTTGTGTGAAAAGACACATTCAAGCACAGTGTCGGAAAAGTATCTTCTCCCAGGTCTCCATTCAGTTTTGACTAAAGGAGACTTGGCAAGCAGAAAGGTATAACAGTGGATTCTTCTCATATTCTCAGCTAAGTGAAGGAGGAAAGCACATGTTTCCAAAGCAGTGTGAAGGGCAATTGAGGCTTTTCATATGAAGCATCATAGAGACCTCACTAGAGTTTCCTCTGCTTCTTTCATTTTAGGTGGGTGGGGGTAAGAGCTGTTTTTGTGATGCAAGGGCACAGTGCCAAGGTGTCAGCTCCAGAAGAGAAAGGTACGGTTGTTTGCATGTGTGACTCTGAACCTTGGTTATAAAAACTGTCAGATGGAGGAATAACCGGGGACAGGATTAAATAAATTATAAAGTACAGGATTTTAGCAAAATACCAGATGCTGGCATTTCTGTCTTGGAGGTCTTTAGTGGTACATGGAATATTCCCTTACAAGTAGCCATCATGGTAGGAAAAGAGAAAAATAGTTTTTACAAGAGCAGTTGTCTACTTAGAAACTGTGTCACTTGTATCATTTACTGTGAGACATCCTTGAGAACTATAGGATTTCCTAATGGCCTCCTAAACCATAGGTCCTACTTTCGGAAACAGTTGTAAATAGGAAAAGCACCAGTTCAGTACTTCCACTGAAGACCGTCATCAGAAAGCTCTTGAAGTGCTTTCCAGCTTAGAGGACTTTGGTTACCTTCATGTACCTAAGCCAGTGTTCTGTAAAGCAGTACCAAAAATGTCTTCTGTTAAATGTGTTAGAACACGCTCTTGCTGATGCTATCATAGGCTAATAATGGCATGAGTCCTTCAGGGAAGCTATGTGGTTTGGTATAGCTGTGAGTAAAACCACACCCGTTCAGGAAATGCAATGAATTTTCTTCTAACAGGCTTCATCAAAACAGACGTTGATTTACTTGGTAGTTCCCTTCCTTAGTGACAATTTGAGAGCTTTGAAGGGAGGTATTTGCTGTGCATCAAAAGAAATTAGAATCAAACTGCCACATCTGCCCACCATTGTAGTGAAAAAGGAAAGTAACAAGCCAGAGTCCTTACTGTGCGTGCTATCCCTGAAGGCATCGCCACCATCATGGTGTCGTCATCAACTCTGCAATCATGACTAGCATTTCTGTCTCTCTTTTTCTTTTCAGAGTTTCAGCTCAATTACTTCCACCTCTTTCCTCCCAGATAGCTCCAATTGGATATCATATAGGTGCCTTCAACTTGAGTCTAAACCTAACCTTGTCATTATCCTGTCTCCCTATAGGCTCCTTATTTAGAGAAATGAGATCACCAGCCTACCATCTGTTGGTCCTGGACCCCTTCTCTTCTTCCTATGCTTCCTCTCTTGATCATGGAGTCAACTTCCCTGTTGGAGTTTTGCCTCTTACATTTATCATGCAGTCTACCCATTCATTCTTCTCCATTCCCTGGCCCCTGTTCTTTTTCAGGCCTTCAACATCACTTGCCTGGACTATTGAAGCAGCTTCTAAAAGTGTTTTCTTTCCTTAAGTCTTTGCTTTCTGTATTTCATTTATTCTACTACTTTGAGAATTATCTTCTGAAAGAAAGGATCTGATTGAATTACTCCCATATTTGAAAACCCTTGGTAGCTTGTGGGATGTGGAAAAGTGTTTATACTTTAATGTGTTAAGAGAAACTTTAGATAAATTAAATTTAACAGAGTTTAATTGAGCAAAGAACGATTTGCAAATCAGGCAGAACCCCTGAACCAGAATAGGTTCAGAGTGACTCTGGGGTTGCCTCGTAGTCGGAGAGGATTTATGGATAGAAAAAAGGAAAGTGACATGCACAAAATGGAAGTGAAGTACAGAAACAGTGGAATCGGTTACAGCTTGATGTTTGTTTGCCTTGTTCAGACACGGTTTGAGCAGTTTTCTGTATTCGATGGATCCAGACTTGGTGATTGGCACAAGAGTAGGTTACAGTCTGTTTACACATCTAGTCAGGTAACAATTTGCTACATATGGAGAAACCTTTAGGCTGAACTTAAAATATGTATGAAGGAAGCTTTAGGCTAAGCTTAACACATGTTAAGTATAAAATTCTTCAAAACTGTGTATACACATTGATTATGAAGCAATGACAAAAATGTATGCCTGTCAACA